GTATATATTTATACATATATATATGTATACATACATACACACATACACATACACATAAATATATATAGATACATACATACACACACCCACACCCACATATATATACATACACACATGTATATATATATATATTTATATAAATATACATATATATATACATACATACATGTATATATATGTATATATATATATATATATATATATATATATATATATATATATATATATATATAAATAGTACATATATCCATATAGATATAGATATAGATATAGACATAGGGAGATATAGATAGATATATATACATATACCTTATACAGAAATATAGATATAGATATAGATATAGATAGATATAAATATAACGATAATAGATATAAATATTACTAAACGCTTCTAGAGCCAGAAAAGGTGATGGCCTCAGCACGTTCACAACATTTGAAACATGTTAACCTAGCGGCAAACCTGGATTCCCGTGTGTAATAGGGCTGACACAATCAAAGATGCGGCTGGAGGGTAGGGCCACATGCAAACGGTCCGGGCCAGAAGGTTACAGGGCTTTACAAAGTCATACTAGATACTTAATGTATGAAGATACCTACATACGGACCACGAATTGAACCAAGGTTTATGCATCACATCCCGCGAAAAGAAAAGTACAGGGGGTAGCGAGATGCATGCGTTTGTGCGTCTACGCACCAGCGTACGGCTGTGTAGCAGAGCGACAATTCATATGGAGCGATTGAAGCATTCTCCCGTCTTCTCAACGCCAAATGCGCGGACGAACGTGAAACTTACTCTTGGCAGCGAACGGCAGATAGTCGACATATAATGGCACCATTTATACACAACAAAAAATGACATAAACAACGACATACTAATTACAAGATTCAAGTTTAATATCTACAGGGCTACAAGTAGCGGCCAATCGCGATGACAACCTGCAGCCGGACACCCGAGCTAGAACGCACAACATTGACATGCATATAATCCTCATTGAAAAATAAAACTGTAAGGAAAAAAGGAAGGGAAGCATATGCAATATATAGTAGCAGACATATACGCATAACCGATTTGGAGGTACAAGTGTCTCGATCAATCTCTCTACGACAGCAGGAATACATCTGCATCCAGCAGATAGCACTCCAATATACTGCACTATCAATTCAATATTGACCAGAAATTTATGTAGATTGCATAGATAGTCTACATTAGTATGAGTGTCTACATGCATGCACATGTAATATATATATACATGTACATACACACACACACACACACACAACACACACAATAC